TAACTCTAGAAGAGCTACAGGCTGAAACAAAATTAACTGAAGTTATTTTAGAAATTAACAATTTTATTTGCCAAAATAGTGCTGTGGAGATTGTTGAGTTTAAACTGGTAACGTGAGTCGATCAATGTTAGACCACTATAGAAAACCTGGAAGCACTGACCGACCATGTCGTCCTAGTATGAGACTCCTCAGCAGTGCACACGCACGATCCCACACATTAGAATCAAACCCAGGACCTTTGGTCTATAGCAGTTACTCATTGAAGGCAATGATGGACGGTCGCGCAATATCGTGGATCGATTGAGGTTAGACATTAACACCGTTGGATGCCGACTCAGTGGTCTAGAGGTTAAGTGTTCGCGTGTGAGCCCGAAAAATAACTTTGAATTAATAACATCTAAAAAAAATGTGTCTATTATTTTCAAAGCATTAGTTACGCGATCATTTTAGATATCCTAACTGATTAAATCATGTAAACAAGATTATTCGTAAACTGACACAGGATTAATTTTCCTGAGAAAAAATTTACTAAGCAAAGTAAATTTGTTTTCGGTCAAACAGGCCGATCGATAATTTGATCTAAGTTACTAATGGAATATTCCGCCCAGCTTTTTAAAAATACACAAAACGTTCATGGGAATATAAATAATTATGGAAATACTATTACTGTCAATATACTGAGCATTTATAAATGCATTACTGTAGAGTTAGAGTGTACAATAAGTGAACAATATGTGCATCCGGAAAATATTCACAATGATCTATAGGTGATATAAGTAACGGACAAAGCTCATCAACAGTGAATATGAACTAATTGAGTTAGAAGAATAGATGTATTTATAAGGTTACTACAGCTTTCAATAACTCATGTTAACTATTTTGTTAAAGCATAACACTTGGGTAGGCGATCACAAGCATTCTTATTAAGGCAGTTTTCAATGAAAAGGTTACTGATATTGACATATTAGGAAGAATATCATCACAGACATTGAAATATCTGAATGAATAATTTGCAAATTTTTTATTCAACTTAAGATCAGGGAAAGTCTCCATTTATCTTGAAATTATCCTTTATCACTAAACAATTTTATAATAGTATTTTTAAGAAATTTTATTTGTTTTATTCAACAACTGGGAGTTGATAATGTTAACATCCTTGAAAATCGTTTACCTACTTACTGTTCCATAATCTTTTCGAAAATTTCGTGTCATTACTGAAGTAAAGATAGAATTACGTCACAATATAACACTATATGTCAAATATATAAGCATTTACTTTGAAAACTGAACAGGATTATCCTTTTAAACACTGAATAAGAAATCAGTAAACGTTCAGAATACTTATTTGAGAATTCGCTTGTAAGTAAAGAAAACTATGGAAGTAAAGTTAGTTAGCTGAACAATACGGAATTCAAATATGACTACACATAAAATTAATAATCTAGTACATGACCATTTTCTTTCGTGATAAAATGTGAAAATTAGTTATAACCTATATTTGAGATCAATAACAAAAGGATTAGACTAAAAAAGAACAACTTACAAAGATTTCAAAATACACAATTTATCACACAAGATAGGTGGCTAAATTTTTTTGTTGAAGTCATGAACTTGATGAGTGATGTTATGATTACGTTTAGACTAGAATAAGGTAACACTACTAAAGGCAAACTATAATAACATCATATTGTTAACCGAAAACAAATGAATTGATGTAAGATACAGATTCAGTTAACAAATTACTAGTCATGGATTAAAGTTACCTTAAAACACCATTTTTACTGAGAAATAACACTAGTTTTATGAAATGTAAACATTTTACAGCTAAACATTCGCTTAGAGCTAATTCACTTTACTGATGAGTGAAAAATAACATTTTCTAAATAGAAGTAAAATCTCTCGAAGTGAAAGTCAACTCTGGGATGTGTGTACATTCAGCTGACGAGTCTCAAATAGGACGAAACGCGCGTCCTAGATTCCATTGCTAGCCACTATCCATCTTCGATTAAAAAGCTTATGACTTAAGGCAAGCCGAACAGGACGCACATATGCCAACAAGAGACTGATCAACTGCAGTCTTAAAGAACAATGGGAAAATATAAGCAAACAACACCAATTGAACTCTCTCTGAAAAAGTTTGGAATGGACTTCCGAACGAAAAGTTGGTTATTTTTAAGTTAAATTGCTCAAATACTTACTAGTACAATCATAAAATCTGTTTCTTCAAATATGAACAAAATTTTTGATAAAAATGTAATCTTGTTTCGAAGTAATCTTCAGAAAGTCATTCTTTCAAGAATATTCATCTACTTTATCAGTATCAATAAAGTAAATGTTCTATATTACACTAAAACTGAAGATCATTCAAAAAAGAGCTCCAGTTAACCTGACAGACAGATTTTTATTTTGAAACTGTCCATTCTCAAAATCGACAAACCTGATTATACAATATATTCTCAGCTAATATATACATATAATTTACAATTATCCTACAATTCGTACCTCAAACAAAGTAAAAAAAATGTGGAATTTCCTACGCATAATGGAGGGACTAAATGAAACGATATCGGACACAATTATGAATAAAGCTCATGGGGGGTATGAGAAATAACTGAAGAGATGGGGAGATTTTCATGTGTAAAATCAATAAAACAAAAGTGTAATAACGAAGATAAGTTAAGGGTGTAAAGAAAAAACAAGATATGATGCACTTCTTTTACATACGAAATTCAGGTTTCATATGGTGGATAGGTTGAGCTTATGGACGGAAATTATAGGTAACCTTAGAATCGAGATGTCAGTGAGCAGAGTCGATTAAATGTTCAAGAAACAAACTACTAAACATCTTCCTTTCCCATCTTGTAGAACCACTCCAGAATATATTTTCTTAATCACTTTCATAAAGAATGATAGCTAGGGCGGAGACAATTCTTAAATAGACTAGTATATATGATCGGAATTAAACACATATTCTGTGGTAAACTGTTCATCAAAGTACCACATACCATGTTGCTTCCCAACATATCAATTTATCTTCTAATAATTTTTTTTGTTAGCCAATAACATTGTGAATCAGTTTAGTTTAGCTCGAGGCAAAAATGTTTAGTTACGGAAATAACTAGCATCTATCTAAGTTATTCCCTGATATGAGTTAATTATATATTCCTTATAACGACCATTAAATTGGAAATTTGTTCGCGTTCATTAAACAAATAATCCTCAATCGGTTAGCATGTGATTATGGTTAGGACAGTTGTAATGGTCTGTATAAGTTACCTTTCAGGACTGTTAATGACTGATGCATTGAAATGTTTTTATTTTATTTCCAAACTAAAATGTTCTTGATAAAAAATTCTAAACTTATTTTTTACATTCTGTTTAGAATCTATCTTTCGAATAACAGACAGTTGATAATGCAGAGAACTATATGTTGAACGAAATATGAAATAAAAATTAATTTTGAGACTGTTAGTGAGACTGTATTTACACGTTTCTATCTTTGACATATTTGTTTTTTATATTCCGTGTGAGTTACTGCTTTAAACTATAATTTTTAATTCATACAAAAAGGTTAGAATTCAAATCACATCAAAATGATCAAAAAGTAGATACAGGAATTAGAGTTAACGTGTATTCATTTGCTACGTAGCTATATATATTGTGATAGAATTTCAAATACTCATCGTTAATAATTAAACAAAATTATGTCAAAAATGTAAGTACTTTATATTTGAACGCATAAAGTTGGGGGACATTCTTCGTCGAAAAGTGAAATTACAATAAATCAACAAAGCAATTGAGGAATAAACTATACGCCAATAATTTATGGAAAGAATGTTTGAAAAACTAGGTGATGATGATTTCACATCATCTCGAGCAAAATGGAAAAACAAATTCAAATCAATGAACAAGGTTCCATTTGAAAAGAAATCCATATCTATTTACTCAGATTACGTAATAAAACATGTTGTAATTATTCTGAAAACACTCCTAGTTTACAAAATTCAGAAGTTTTACATCAGCTGTTCAGTTAAAAAACGATCGAGATGTTTTTGAAGTTAAAGTAATCTGCTGGTCATTAATACAAATTCAGGCACAATCCAATATGTATTATAAAATAAACAAATCCTACATAAAAGTGGAATTTAGTTTATCCCTATTCACGGATGAATCTGAATTTCAGTGTTGTTGCTCTCATTGGAACCAGAACCAAGTACTTTCCGCTTCAAACGCAAACTCACTTTCTACTCAACTATTGAGCACAGTTAACCACTAACTTGTTCACCTGCTATAATGTTTAGATCATTATTAGTATTGACTTCAATCACTCTGATGCTGTTGTTCAGGAGTGAATTTCGTTCAGTTTTTGTTAGCATATGTGCAACCAGTACTGATTACCTTAATATGGTCAGTTTATCAAAAATTTCATAGAATAAATAGCTTATTACTAGTAGTGGAGTTCAGGACGAGTGTTTTGTTCGGTCAGATGTAATTGAATCCTAGTGTTGATGTTCATTAAATAGACTAGCATGAGTAGGTTAATCAATTCATTCTCCATTTATCTATTTGTGTTTTCAACAAAAGCATTACTGATAAATAGAGAATATTAAATGCCTATTTATCACAATTAACATATTATTATCTTAACTAGTGAAACCAATGACATATTTATATGACATTCCTATGGACAAGAAAAAAGCGCTAAGAAAATTATGAACTTTGATAATGAATAAATGAGAGAATCTTCTTTTCACATTGAAAGAATCATCTAAACAATAAAGCATGAGAGTATCACAATAAATGAAAACGATTCACCAAAAGCATGATTTATAACTGTTAGGGAAAAAAGATACATAAGGAATACCAAAACAAGCCGGTTTATAAGAGTAAAAAGATCTTTAAAAGAAAAAAACAAAAACAACATATCACTCCGTAAAATGTATCACTTTTAAGAGCCAACCTTCAAGCGATAACTGACCAAAATAATACAAAACACTAACCTCCAGATCCCAGTTATATTTTTGAAGATACATCATTCCAAGTGCTCGATCAGTAGAGGTGGTTTCAGCAAATAAAATACATTTCTCTAGAAAAACATCTTTACCATTCGAATTTTCCTCTATATCCATTGGTACAATATTACTGAACTGCTGATTTTGTGCCATTGCTGACAACCTACAATATAATAATAAAGTATATAAATAAATAATTTAAAAACCAATTCCCATTTTGTTGGTTTGATAAAAACAAGCTATATATAAGCGAAGAGCTGAGAAAGTTGAATGTGTACAAAACAACTTAATGATGTAATACTATGAAAGTAAGTGAAGATTATAGGTGTCAATGCAAAGGTGAAACTTGATAGTTTCAAATAAATTGAGCACTAGGTCGAAAGCTAATAATGAATTTGGGATATAAGAAGAAATATGTTTATTATAAGTGATGATGAGTCATGAAACTAAACTTATTAGCGAAAATTATATTCTCGGAATCGAATGACGATCATAAAGATAAATGAGCAACTCTGTACCCATAAAAATGCCTTGTTGACGTAGATTCTGCAAAATAACCGTTTTTCTATTGACATAAGTTATTCGATTAGTCTCAAACTCCTTTCATAACATTCCACCCCCGAAAAAGTTTCTTTGGATATATGAAATTCTTATTAACTCATTCAACAAAGCAGACACGAAGGTAAGAACTACTATATGAAGGAAAATAATTCAATATGGTTAGATCAAAGCAACCTAACGGGATTTGCATAAAAACGAATCAGACATTTAACAGCTATCTCATTTACTATCAATCAAACAAAACACGTCTGAAGTAATGATATAATGAAATACTGTAGATTCTCTAATGAAGTCAGGAAGTTTTTTAGAAAAACGTTTAGCAATGACTAAATGTTCTCAAGCGGAAATCGCTTTTTAACAATAATGGATAATGAAGCCTAAAACGTTTCTTTTCAGACATTCGGTTCAAAAAAAGTAAATGTATGCAAGTAAGATAAGCTCACAATGCATAATAAGTATCGGCTCAAATGTATGTGTTTTGATGCGTAGGCATGGACGTTTATTATTTCGATCGTGAATTTTATTTCTTATTCTTTGTTGATCATTTACCCGATAATTAGCTAAAACATACGGTTATGGCTGAATATTTTGCACGTATACGCTAGCCTTCTTTTCCCCAAAAGCATACACATAAGACAGTTGGACAATGAATCAAACTTTTTAAATCTGTCTCCGTTAAAATCTTGTAGATGGAAAAATTATCAACTCAGTCATGACATTAATTCTAATTTTATCGATGAACTGAAGACATAACACCAGGCTTCAAACAGAATAGTGACACTTGCTTATGTTACAAATTATTATTCATATAAAAAAAGAAAGTGACCATATTGTGAAGCTGGTATGATCAGCATACAAATTAGAAATAACAGTTGTGAACAACAACAATCGTATGATGTATCTAAGTTTCTATGTGTATAGTGCATGTCTTGAAACTTCTGAAAATTGAATAAACAAATAACCTAGACACCATATTAATAATGTAATCTCACATATTTAAAAGTGGTTGGTTTAATAAGTGACCTTTATTCACGCTTTAATCGATGTGATTTTCAGTAAGATATGAGATAACAGAGTAGAAAATCAGTTTATTAATCGTTTGCTAAAAAAAAGAGTGCCAAATTGTTGTTTAGATGGATAAATGAAGTTATGAGTCGATTTGGCGACTGCTATTTTTAATTCACTTTGTCCTAGAATATCGCACGAAAACAATACTTACTGGACGAAAAGACTAAGAAATATGATTATTTTATGTTTTATTTGTAGACACAAATTCATGAAACTCTTTCTTTTGTCAGTATGTGTATTTGAATTATGAAATAGCGTTTCAAATAAAAACATATTCATGTAAATTAATGATTACGGTATATAAGAATTATTAATTAATTAAAGTTTACAATTTATGACAACAATTAAATTTTAGCAAAATACATGCAAGACTAATCACTTCACAAGGAAGAAACAGAAGTGACATTTTTAAGTGACAATTTAAGTATTATAAACTTATGATCGATCTTGTTCTTCACGAGTTGACTAAGATAAAATGTACTGCATTAGGAACGAAAACAAATTATATACGACAGGTTTTATTTTCTGAATAAGTAGTATATCGTGGAGCAGCATATATTAACGAATAAACAAGATTATATCGCTGATGGAAAAAAAAGGGAACGAAAATCCTAATTTGTGATAAGATTTATCAACTAAACATTAAAATAAAAGCTTAGCGTGTTGTAAGTCACAAAAAATCGTTTAATTATACACTTCAAACACGAATAAAATATGAGATTTTTACCGGAAGTAGGAAAATCAAAACTCCCTTGGTTTAGAAATTATTTTATTAGTAATTAAAATTTTTGACGCAATAACTCAGAAAAGCATTGTTCCATAAGTGCTGAGACACAGAGTTATTCACTTAAATTCATCAACTTAGCATCAATAATAAAGTTTGCTTAAGCATGTTTACTTAGCCTAATTATAAGTTAGTCCAGTTGTTGGATCTATCCTCTCTAATTAAGCTCAATGTTGACCAGGACAGTGCAATCATGTGGGATGAAAAGCGATTGGTAACGTACTTTCAAGATAAACAGTAGTCTAGAGAAATGTGCAATGATAGCAGAGAAACTGAGCACAGCCTAGCAATAGAGTCGCGTAAATTTAACGACAAAGTATTGGTGTTAGTCTGATAGTCAATATTTTTAATACATCACAACTCATGCTTTTACGCAGCTTCAGCAATAAAGATCAAGTAAATCAATCTTCAGTTTTTCAATACAATCTTCCCTGAAGATGATGCCTAGACTTATGTCAACTGGTTATCATATGACAAATCTAGAACGCTGACACGCTAAAATGAAAAATTTATTTTTCATATTATCTTCAAATCATAGAATGCTTACATTTTGTGATTGTTCGATTGTTTGTAATTACAAAACCAGATAAAACAAAAATAAACATTCGTGTGTATCAAGTATTTTTGATCTCAACCTTTTAGAACAGGTTAAATAGCACCAATGCTTACAGAACATAAGAGGAGTTTGAGTCAGATGTAGAAAACAACCGGTTTACGTACACTTATTTCTACTGATAATGACTGGCAAAGAGAATAAATTCATCTAGGAGTATATGTAGCTACTTACACATACCATGAATGTAATACAAACACTTTAAAATTAATTCAATGGAATATTTTTAAAATCCTGACAATAGTTGCAGTATGATTACAAGTTCACCTTCAAAAACACACGAATGTACATGCCACTTTTTTATAAAGAATCATGACATAGCAGAGTAGTCACTAAGGTACACCTACATTTTTTAAAAGGTCAATTACTTACAATATCTTTGATTAAATAGACCATTTCGTGAACCGATTTGACCTTGCATTTTATGAGACAGAACAATTATGTGGTATGTTATTTATTCAAAAACTATTTCGGTATTACATGATAAATATACCGGAATTATTATGAATATTAATCCATATGTAAACGAAAAATGGTTTTAATTGTAAAACTAAGATACCATTCTATCCTATAGGAGACCGATGGACTAACATACAAACTTGGGAAGTAAGAAGAGAGCTGAGAAGCCCTAAAAGAACTGTCGAAGAGACTCACAAAGAAATGTAGCAGACCGAGAAGGATATTTAGTTCGAACAGTTTTCGTCCCTTCAACACCACAATGAAGACATCTAGTCATTGTCTTTCCCTGTTCCATTAACTCCAACGATAGTAGCTCTAGGAATCTATGCCAGGGTTGATCACAATAAATCTAGAGCTTTAGACAAAATAGTTCTATCCCGAAATGCTCTGTTCACTATAGAATGAACACCTAAGGAATAATACAGATTTTATGCGTCTCATAAAATATAACTTCAGTTTTGTAATGTGAAGTTGTACGGCAAAAAGTGATATAATTACTTTTCCTTCAATTTCAATGAGGTTCTAAAATCAGTTACTTGACTTGTTTGGGATGGTTGCATAAATAATTTTTATAAATAATAAACATTAAGTTGGGGATACAAATGTGTCTACAACGATTTGTTATTCGTCGATAAATGACGAACAATCCAATACCAACAAAAACGTAATTTTTCGGAGGCTATATTAATCGCGTTCACCGTAGAAAGCAGCACGATAAAGAATACTGCACTTCATGTAGGGATACCGAGAACTAACAAGATGACAAAATGAGAAGAATCAAAACGTGGGATTAAATTCAAAGCAACAAGATAGAATGACAATTGGCTCAGTTCCTAGAAAATAGATGAATGCAGTTGCGATACTATGAATAATTTCACGTCACATACCCGAATGGCTACATTGATTACAGGTATTTGCAGACTGTATTGCTGGAAATCAACCTTGGTTTGAGAATTCTTATGTACACTTTCGAATCATTAAAACTTAACATACGTGTAAACATACAGTATTTTGGAGTTTGCTTGATAAGTATTACTTAGTTAGTGAGTTTGTGCTTCAAGGACTATAGTGGGAACAATACAATTGAATTATGCCCGATTTACAAATATAAAAATAGACCAGTCACATATCTACAGATACATACATACCAAGCACATATTAGGCGGGGCAAAGTTTAATTGGGGAATCATTTCCTTAAGAGACACAAATTACCAAGTGCATTATATCACATAATAAATAAGAAAAGTTCAAAGCCTTGGTAATTAAAAATCAAACGACTTGTGTATAGTTTATTATTGGTAATAAAGAACAGTTCACCAGTAAACACAAATCTGTCATAAGGCAGGAAGTGTGCATAAAAACATGAACATTTGTCACGATATATAAAATGTTTACATACATACATACGTAAGACAAAAATGTATTTGGATGGATGTACGATTGATGAGACCGTAAAAAAAAAAGAATTTCGAAATTCATATCATTCATAAATAATTACAAACGCCAAATAAATGGCTCGCTGAGAAAATGATACTTAAAAACGAGGACATAAAAGAAGGGCGAACAACAGCCATTGATTTGCACACATAAAAGGTAACTTATGTAGAAGTAAACAGAATGTAAGTAAATATAAACGAAGATATCGAATAAAAATGGACAACTTTCAGTAGTGTTTTCAACAAGGATAGAAACAGTGTGTTCATTTTTTTTCTGTGGTAATTTTTTTCAAAGGACGCATAAATAAATTCACACAATGCGTTGTATTGTTTAAATCAACTATAAACGAAATCCTGATTGTGGCAGTGGAGCAACATTAGAAGATGCAGCTCCATGGTAGCCGGTGACCAACAATAAGTTCATACGCCATTTGTTTCCTTAGGATCCTGGAGCCCACATACACCACTGGTTTGAAATCAGGGTTTTCCGGTCCAACAAGGTGCAGCCTCCGAATCCAACATACCGGTTAGAGCACCGGACATTAGCTTTTCGTCCTCTTAACTTCGTAAACAACAATTCCGCCACGATAAGGAGGTCAGTAGGACTTCCCTGTGAGTGGCTGTATACGTGTAGCTATATGAGAGTATTTCGAGAGAGAGAGAGAGCGAACTCTCTACACCCTCATTGAGTAGATTCACTTTCGCAGTGAGTAATTTGAATAAAAAATGATGAGAGTAGCGTTTTGACACAGCAATCAACTGTTAGTGTTCATTTCCGGAACAAACCTATAGACAAATATTATTACAGTGGATGAGGTGTAAATTAGATACGATTTATACTGTTGTTTAGTATAGATAGTCTGAATGAATCGAGAGTTGAAAAAGCCAAAGCGAATCTAATCGAATTCATAAATCTTTACACTGTTGTTTTATTTAGAATTTTAACTAAACAGTAATCGATTAAATTTAGAGATAATATTTCGTAGCTTGTGCAGAGAGAGATATAACAAGATTAAAGGCTAACTTCGATCATTCACCAAGTTTGCTAACTTGATGAAAAGTCTCAGACTTAGTTGTGGTATCCACTTTAAAACCTGTGAGTGATTAAATAAAGACAGTTATGTAGATGGATTACACAGCCAATAGTTAGCCAGAAAAAACCTTAAGCAACAAATCTGGTGAATATTACCAGTTTGTATCTGAAAAGCATTTTCGCTTTTTAGGCATAAAGCTGAATATTTATTGTGATATATTTTGTTTAAAGTAAATGCATATCATTTTTCGACTTATTTACACTGCTTGTATAAAAAAACAATTGTTATTCCATCAAGTATAGTAAAGAGGATCAATATACAATGAATTTGTTCATGAATAATGCTTTAAAATAAAAGTGATTTAGTAGACTAGCGATGAATACGCATTTATAGTTGTGGTTGCAGCAGTAGTGACACTAATAAAAACAGAAAGTAACATGAACAGTATATGTGAGAAACTAACCAAAACTATACAATGATGAGCATACCTTTGTAGCATAGTAAAATGCTTGGTGAGGCAATTTCGGAAACAGTAGCATGGATGCATGAACCATACACATACGAAAATTCAGATTATTTGATGACTAAAAAATTTTAAAAAAAACGGATTTCCATAAGTTATACCTGCAAGTGTACACCTGTCTAAATAAATGTGAAAGCGTACAATTTATTACTGAGAAAGTCACCAGATAACTTTAATTCTTTCTTTTTTTGAAAAATACGCAAATTATATTTACAACCACATATAAAACAAAGTTGAGATTGGTGGAAATATTTACAACCTGAATTATTAAGATGTTTGTTTTGTGACACCGATTCGTACAAGTAGAAAAGTATATTTCTTACAATTAAAAATATTTAATGTCGGTGTATTTGAGAATGTTTTACTAGTTCTAAGGACTGAAACAAAATAAACTTACTGGATCACTATAATATTTCGCAACTAAATTGATTAAATAATTGGCTTTTGAATTAGGTTGACTTGTTTGAAATAAAGTTTGAATAAATTCTAATCGTGATAAATACGGTTTACTTCGGCATACACCAAGCATGCTCTCAAGACGTATTTGGAACCATTCAGTTTGTTTATCTTCATCCGTTATCAAATCACAATTACGTTCAAGTGCACTATAACATAAATTGTATTACAGAAGTAAATATTTCAAGAGCTAAATGTTCAATTAAGTATTAACAACACTAACATACAAACCGTCTGTTCACGTTTAGTCACCTAATGGTATCATAGCTACCACATCTACAACTAAAGGTTGAAAAAACGACTACCATTTACTCGACCTACAGATAAATGCTCAAAACAGTAATTATTTTGTGATGAACAAGTCCATTTAATATTACTTTGCATTTTTGTCACCTTTTATTTCCGTGAGTTTTATACTAGTTCTTAATTTGATTTGAATATATGTCTTACTGAACTGCGTGATATGATCGCAAATTTTATCTAGTTTAGATAGTCTTACCTCGCAAAATAATTGCTTTTTGAAAACTGTACTAAATCTGTACTAAATCTCATGGTACTTTGAGAATATGTTTGCTATCTGGTATGTTTTATTTTTGCGCTTTGATGGAGTTTGAAGAACAGTCAGATCTTGTTAAGAATGTATCTTTAGGGCTCTTGTTCTAGACTCGCATTAATTCAGTCAGTCAGTCAGCTACAACGTAGGACCAGGCACATATATGCATCGGTCCAAGTTGCCATACCTCGTTAGCACAACAAGATGAACACCGGATTCATAGAAGTAATTAATTTAGTGGTGGTAGTAGTATATAAATTATAGGTTGTATATAAGGATATAGTATAGGAAGGAAGAGAGATATGAAGCAATTTTAGTCTCAAGGTTTAAGGGAAGATAAAGAGTGTATACACCTACGCCATTGTGACCGATTCTGAGCCATGTCACCTAGAGTCTCCAACCATTGGTTACGATAGTCATGCGGACCCCAACCAGGTAGTCCGCATCTGCCAACATGGCTCAGGCTAGAAGTTAGTGACTTCAAACACTGATGCCATGTTTTGGTTTGGCCGCCCCTAACTCTCTTCCAACCGTCCCCAATACTAGTCATCATAGCGCGTCGTGGTAATCGGTGTTCAGGCATACGTAACACATGGCCCAACCATCTCAGTCGATGAAGTAAAAATTAGCAACGGAATCGTCGGTTTCACGTTATAATTGTCTACATTAAGACAGACTTAAATTCAAATACATACACAATGATGATTCTTACTACCAACCGAATAATCTCATAACGCAGATCGCCCGACTAGTGCTGTAACCGTAGTTAGAGGCTGGGTTAGCCAGACCAGAGATTTAGGAACCGAGGATAGTTTGGAATATTAACACAGACTTCTTAATCACTAGTAAAATAACGGTGACTATCATTAGAAGCTGTGTGCACTATCATGATTCAGACAGTTATCGTATATTCGCTATCTAGTGAAATAGTTCTGTAACTGTAATCAACTGACATATGTGAAAATGTGAGTGACACCTGACACCTCTAAAATATCTCCTTCGATTTTGGTTGTACTCCAGTGTATTCAAGTTATTTTGTACTTCGGTGGACAGCGAATTCGTCATCCTAAACGGAATAATCCAAGTAAACGACGTGCATAGTTTTCTCGCATACCAAAAAAAAAATTGTAACTGATTATTGTTGACAAAGGAGAAAAATTCATAATACACACTCACAACATTATTTGAAGTAATGAGTTCAAATAGACTACTGCTTCATATCCTGGTATTTTATGCTTGAATGCTATTCGGATTTGACAGAAGTCATCGTAGGATAAATCGCAGAGCGGGACATTTAAATGTCTAATTATTGTTTTTAAAGAAAAGTTAAGAAATGAATAAGTAGTCTGCATAAAGACTAAATACTATTTGTTAGAAAACTCTACCACGTAAACTACACAAATGTTTACACAAAAGAATGTAATTATTGAGAATTTCAATGTATAGCGAAACGGATTAGTTGACATGACTTAGTCTGGCCGAATCTAGTCTTTTCATATTGCAAACGGATTTTAGTGTATTCAGTTGGTTTCTGAAAGCGATTCTCTAAAACCATAGATACAAGTCTCAAAACTTAAAGGCCTTTATGTACGATTAACGAAAACAATATTCTCCCATTAAATAGTATGGCGACATTCCTATTTATTCCTTAGCATACATTTCTTTCCAACTTACTAGAACTCCAGGTTCCATAACCTGTTTTAATGACATTTTTTATCTTTTCATTAACAAACTTCAGGTCACACAAAAAACTGCTGTGAACCGTTCAGTATACCAAAAATTACTTTTAACAACAGTGAGAAAAACAACAATTCTTATGCTTGAACAGTTTTCATCCTTTACTCACAAGGAAGAATATGAAAATAATCTATGCACCCATTCTTCGTATTTTTCGATGAACATGTTTTTTGGCTTTTTGTATAGAATCTGAGTTATTTTTCATTTTAGTCCTCTTACTGACAGATAAATTCCCTGGATAACATCACTTTTTTGCGAAGTTCCCACACCTTAAAATTGAAATGTATTAATACATTTGTATTTTACTGTTACAGCCTTATAAACTCGTGAAAAGAAGCAAGAATAAACAAACAGAAAGTGAACTGACTCTGCCATGATCCGACGGATATTATTAGCATATAATTGAGCGTCCAGTTGTTCATCTTCGTTTGGTTGATAAACTGGTAAAAACTTTGAAATATAAAAAAAATTGAAAGATATGTAACAACATTCAAAATTATTGCTTAGAATAAAAGTTTATTTATTTATTTATTTGAACGCATAAACATTAGTACAAGGAAGAACCAAATACTTATGCACTACATTATAACAACGAGGCTATGAAGAGATAGAGAATGCAAAGTGTGTATTATAAAGAACAACAACAAAAAGGAATTAATGTATGAGAGAGAAACAGTTCAGTTAGCAAAAACATGACCAGAAAAAATTCTTTCAGTTAAAGAGGGTATGTTTACTTTTATGAAGAAAGTAAAGAAAGTTACAGCACGATTGTCACTAGCTTCTATTCTGAGCCGAATCTGATAACGTCTCTAGCCACTGTGTTGCATCGTTTCTAGGTCAGTCAGTCACAACGTAGAACTTATTAAGTACATCAGTTCGAGTTGTTATACCACATTAGCACAGAGATGCAGTTATCAATTCAAATCCCATAATCGTAGAGCTAGAAAGAATATAAGCAGTAATCGGAAAGATTAGGATTTGAAGATGTTATTCAAGGAGTGAAATATAGTGAAATAAATTTGGAAAGAGAAAAAAGAAAGGGACATGAAGAATCCAGAAGATTAGAATTTTTGAGAACACAAAGATTGGATGCACCTTCGGCTCCAACCAGGGACCCGAGAATGACCAACAGAAGTCAGTCCTGTACAGCACTCTTTCATACGACAACACTGTGTCACACACTGACCACCTCTTCGCTTTTTTAACCAGTCCCAGCGACGGCAGATAATGCACGACGTGGAATTCTCTGGGACGACATTCGTAAGACATGCCAAAGCCATCAAAGTCGATGTTTCAAGATAGTGACAAAATGAACTATTACTAGCGTTAATAATAAAATTATTTTCACCATAATAGGTTAGAACCCAACTCGCCATTGATTCAATGAAATAATGTGAGTGGTATTTAAAATCCTCTTCATCCCATATCTACGCAGTTGTTGAAGTAGATTATTTTGGCTGAAGAACAAAGCTTAATACATGATTGGTAATATTCCAACAAAAAACCGGATAATTTGCTCACCTAAACACACATGTTGTCTATCAGTAGGATTTTTCTGTTAATTCAAGTATGACTAACTGAATCGAATATTCACATGTATTTTATTACGTTATAACGGTATCTACATAGAATTTTCCTGTAAAGTATTCACTTCACTTTCATATTCTTGTGAAAGTTGTGCACATTGATACAATCAAACAAATGCATGTTTTTTCACAACTTTAAGATATACAATACACCCAAAAGCTGAGCGATAAGCTAAAGAAGATTGGATATTAAACAGCAAGTACACAATTCGTCTCATCAATTTTACTTCTTTTACATAATCCACATAAATTCTGGCACAATAATGCACTGAAAGATGTGCAGCACAAATGAAGGAATAAAGTGTGAAGAAATAAAGGAGAGACAGTATGGTGAAAAAAGGTAACTGACAGAAATAACATTTAATATAATGTACAGTATAGTCGAAAATACATTTAAAGGAAATTTTTTCAATTGATTATCATTTCATTGTTACGAAAAGTGTAACAGGAATGTACAGTACCATCGTTACTGGCTTATATTCCGAACCATATCTGATATAATAATAATAATAATCAATACAGAAAATCTCTTTTAACTATTTTTTTTACCACTCAATATTTTTCTAAAAAATGCATAGTTTACTTACTTCGATTTCCAATCTATTGTTGAACTGTGACATCAACAGCCACATCAATTTTAACCTTAAAACATATTAATGAAAGGGAAAAAACAACTCGATTTAATAAATTACGTGATACAAGAAATCAGTTCTTAGGTATCCATACCATAGTTGGACTTTGTGTTTTAAATAAATTCAGCACTGGGTAGAGAGTTAACAGTAAATCTATTTTTGTTGTCCCAATGGATAGAAAAGTTGTAATTCTGATGTTTCGTGACTTAAAGTAAGCCGCTTCTTCAGAGTAAATAAATGACCGACAGTAAATTAACAGAAGTTTTAAACCCTGAAGAAGTGGCTTACATTAAGTAACGAAAGGTCGGAAATGCATTTTTTTCAACTCACTGGGAAATAACAAAAGTATATTTATTATTATTCAGTCAGTTCATTGGTAAAATAAGTAAATCCTCCATCTTGAAAAAGAAATGAAGATTTTTATCAACGAATTATGATTATTTCCCTTCAAACCAGGTGAAAGCTTTCACATTTTATGTTACCAAATGATTAAAAGAAAATTGTAAGTACATTTGTTTCAAGGATCATGTCCAGACACTTGGAATTAGGTTATAAAATGCTAATAAATTCTGGGCAGTTAATATCGATAAGCTTAGTGCACTTGAAAAGGTTATTCAATTGATTAGATTGTTATGCCAGGTTCGAAATGATACGCCTATCAAAAATAACAAGTTCGTAAAGTATTTTGAAAATCTCGACCACAATCGTTAGCGTACAGCAAACGGAAACTCCCAACAATTGTCCAGGTACAACAATATACTAACTACATTTACATACATTAGCTAAGAATAATTCAGTCAGTCAGTCGTCTACAACGTAGGATCAGGCACATATATACACAACACCAAGTTTCCACACCTCATTAGCACAACGAGATGGAGACCTTTAGTAATTTGCATCAAAATCGGTTGCAGTAGCGCATTCAGTTGTTCTTTTTTCCTGAAAATTTGAGCTAAGTGTTATTCAAAACTTTTCAATACAACGGCTTCACGTATTACTTTTAAATCATTATCTTTGTATTTAGTTCTCGTCTACTTTTTATTTCAGTATTTCAACCTCTATGGTTACCATCTTATTAACTTTCTATCTTTGCCGATTGACGTATGTCGGCTCCTGCTTTGTCTTCAAATTATGTTCTGTAGTCAGTCGTCTACAACGTAGGATCAGGCACATATATGCACAACACCAAGTTTCCACACCTCATTAGCACAACGAGATGGACACCGAATTCATAGAAAGTCACTTCAACGGTGGTAATATATAAAAGAAAGATTTTATATAGGGATATAATACAGGGAGAAAGAATCAGTTGGCAGAAAGAAAGGTATATGGTAATTTTAACTTCATCGTTTAAGGGAAGGCAAAGTGTATACACCTACGTCATTGTGATCGATCAAGCGCCAAGCCACACAGAGTCTCCAACCATTGGTTACGATAGTCGCGCGAAAACCAACCAAGTAGTCTGCATCTACCAACATGGCTCAGATTAGAAGTTATTGACCTCAAGGACTGATGCCATGTTTTGGTTTGGCCTTCCCTAACTTTTTCTCATCTGTCTCCAACACTAGCCAGCATTGCGCGTCGTGGTAATCGGTGGTTAGGCATTCATAATACGTTGCTCAACCATCTCAGTCGATGAAGATCCACAACCTCATCAACTGATTTACCATCATTCCCTAATACTCTGAGTCTAACCTCACTATTACTTACGTGGTGATCCCAGCAAATGCGAGCATTATATCGGAGATCGAATACTAGTACCTTACGAGTATCTTCTACTTTTAATGACCACGTTTCACAACCGTAAAGTAGAACAGAGGGAACTGCTGCTCAGTATGCTCGTCCCTTAATCGATGGACGGTTATCTCGTCTTCGCCATAGGTGATGTGAGTTGGCAAAAGTCAAACGAGCTTTCTGGATCTGTGCACAGATTTCGTCAGACAACTCATTAGGACTGATCACACTTCCAAGATAAGTGAAGTCGGCGCATTCGACTACTTTACTCCCTATTCTTAGTTCAGGTGTTGACGCAGGCCAGTTCTGAAGAAAGAATTTGCATTTGCAAGGCGGAGAAACGGTTCCAGTTTGGAACAAATTTTAGATGTAATATGTAAACAGAAAAAACTCCGCTAAACAAATGTCGTCAAGAGTTAAAACCAGTTTTAGAGTGTTATCTTAGTTTGAAGCTAGATAAAATAAACTAATAGTGAATAGGTTCTGCAGACAGTGGTAGGAAAAATGTCAACCGATTAATTAACAGTTACTTACACACCAGGACCTTCGCAGACCCAAGTCACGCAGTCCTGAAATACAAGAAAGAAACAAATATTTATACATAAATGGTAGATGGTAAAACGGCAAATAAAGTGAGGGACATCATGCAACAATGTTTAGAGAATCATTAATCGGAAATAAATTTAAAAAGCGACGGCAGCTGAAAAAATCAAACATCACACAAATATTTATGCAGCGTTTGCCACTAAGTTCGTAACCAACTTCCATGATTTTTTACTAGTTTCGGGGAAAAATTGAGCGATTTTATTACAACATTCGATTGAAGCTTACTTAAAATTCTACCACTTACATGCAACGAAAAACTAGGGAACTAAGAAACCACATTTTAAAGACAGTCAATCAGATTGCACGTGACCTATCAAATATCAGTGTAAAGCGGTGAGTATGTAAGTAAACGAGCATACAATATGCAGCCACCAAATAACAAGTCAGATCACCGTGAAGTAACAAAAGCTTATCATTAGCGGGTGATAGTTGGTAAAGTTATGCCTCATAATCAAAGTTTCCTATGTAAAAAGGACCATATAGAAAGAAACAACGTAAGACCAGAAATACCTGTAATGTGAAAAAAAACGTCTAAAGCCCACATAATCGCTGGATGTCCAGAAAAAAAGCCATTTTCTGGTGTGTACATGCACGAAACCACATTCTCGGAGTATTTGTAACGGTTTAAATCATTTATGGACAGGAAAAGTGTCGCTATTAATTTAGCGGTAAAAAGTATTATTTAAAGCATCACACCAATAACAAAGTAGTATAAAGTTAGTATAAGTGTAAATCCTTAGGGTACTTCAGGCAGCCACTCCAAAATAAACTCGTTAACTGGTCACGTGATATGACCCTTAAGCATTCATTTCAACGAAAAACATCGCTACAAGGATTAGGGGCGAAGCTTTTACTAAATGGATTGCAACCAATTGTAACACTGGACTATATTTCAGGTGACTAAATTAGTGTACTTTTGGTCATTTACAGATGTGAAACTTTTTTTAGTAATATCGTTCTATATATGCTCGTGGAAATTTAAAGATATCTGTAGCTAAATAGTACCTCGTAGCATTGTCTTTATTCACAAAAATACTGCGTATGCTTTAATACTTAAGTACTACGAAGAGGAGTGAAATGTACCAAACACTGAGGATTTTACTTAAAACATTGCTAGAACCGTTTTTGCAGACATACTTGCCACTCACATTCTTCAGGCAGATCAGTATCTCCCTGGGAGGATTGTCTCCATCAAAAGCGTTCCAAGTTCGATAAGCTGATATACGAAAAAAGGGGTGGAAAAAGAAAGTAGCTCTCAAGAACACCATTCGATTTGGTGACTTTAGGAGGCCATTATATGTTATTAATACTTGATAACGAAGATCAAAACATGAACTCAAGATGACTAAAACAACACTAGGTAAGAGTTACACAATGCCTTAAAGATATTTTGGGTGTTAAGTGAAGCCAATTAAGGATGCCGATTTGTGGTACACAAATTATCTTTTCAAAACTGATTATCCTATCATTGGTACTTTCAAGCAGTACAACTAAGGAATCCTTTATTATTTTATAGATCATTAGCAAGACCTGAAACTTCAATTAAGTTTCTAAAAATGTATTTAAAAATCGTCATCTAATTGGTGGACAGCGTTCCCACACTTTTGTGACAGTCACCAGAGATCTTCAGCAGCGTTTGTGACAATGACGGCACTCCAAATCAAATTAGATCTACGAGTATATGTCCCGCAGTCAAAGTTGGAGTGACAACTAATTTGACATTTACGTACATAAGCTTTCAACCTGATATCTACGAAACTAAAAAACCTTTGGATAAATATTATTAATTATTACAGAAACTTTATTTTTTCTACTTCCTATTTATTTTTGCTTCCCAATCAATGAGTACAAACTGCTCGAAAAAAGCAACTGCTTAACTTCTGATTGTAGATTATACTATTTAGGTTTGTATATTTAAATATGGATAAATTTGAAAGGACTGATCCTATAACCAGGTTTCATATTAAAATCATGTTATGACAATTCTACACTGAAATGTAAATAGATATACAGATGCCAATATGTTCAAACGAATCAAACCCTAAAAAATCGCAAATGATCTAAATGTTTGTTCTCGACTTGGAATTACCAATCAATAAATAATTTCACTTCGCTGAAGTTTGTTACCCCTCATGAGGTACAGGCCGCCGACCAGGAATCTCCTACCAACTCCGTGATGGGCTCTCATTCCCACGTGTTGAAGTGCTATTAGTCCTTTTAATGTGTTGTCAGGATACAGCGACACGTATTTCGGTCTACCTCTTTTTCTTTTGCCTTGGGAACTCCACGTTAAAACTTGCTTTGTGATGCAAATTGATTATTCTTGCGGTGTCCTATTCACCTTCAGTGACATATCCTTATTTCCCCAGCTGAAAGCTGGTTTGTTTCCTGCCACAGCAGGCTATTGCTGATAGTCTCTGGTCAATTGATCTGAAACATTTTGTGCGATTAATTTTCTCACCTAATAGATAAAGTAAGGACCACCAAACGACCAAGACACAATTGCAGAAACTCATCTTTGCAACTTATTTTAATGGTTATTACTGAGTTTAAATTATAATTAGTGAGCATATGGGTGAATCCAATCTCCCATTTGATCGATTAATTGAATAACGTAGGGGAAATCATACAGCATCCAGAGTGCTTTGTTGACCAATCAGAAAAGTGAAACTGCTAGGTGATTTCAAAACTGAATGAAACGAAAAGACTTAAGAAGGTGAGACCAGCAATGAGGAATAAGTGTCATAAAAAGTGGGTTTTGTAAAATATTACGGTGGAAAAACTTATAACTGAAAATGATGACACATAAACTTAAGTTGCTAATAGTATGCAGGTTAATATGAAGCTTTTATGGGACAAACTTAAAACCATAGATTGAAAACTTGTTTCGAAAACGTATTGGATAAAAACCAAATTAATTGAGATTTAAGAGCTGAAAGGTTTGCAAGACTACATCAACAAAATAGAACAAAATAAACAATGAGGGGAGAAAACTACATAATAGGTTTCAGCTGGTTTTATCATCAATGACACGAAATTTCAAGTATTTAGCACTCGATTGTAAGGCTATTTTAAACGTTTTCATTGAGACAAAAATTGTTTGTACATCAATAATATATGATAGCAAAATACATTTACGCCAGTCAAATACAGTCTTGAAAATGAAACACACATGCTGACTGATCTCCTGTTATTTTGTATATGTAACGAAAATCAATGAGAGGAAGCGTATTCAGAATAATTTTCCAACATTAGGGGTTTCAAGAATCCAAGAACAAACCAAAAGTACCAAGTTGGACATTATAGAAGAAGATACTAAGACAATATTATTAAGAAGTTTAATATCTTGGTATTCGCACAATAAGTGTCATATCTCCACTTACCACTTTATTTGGCCAGCGAACGATTACTGGTTGAACCGGTACACCTGCATTGAAAGCCCCTAGAGATAAAATTTAGAACAATCCAGATGTTAAATTCATAAGATCACAAATTTATTCTTGTGTGTAATTCATAGACAGCATGCACATTTAATTACGTTAGATCGGATTATTTAAACATTCACTTTGATCACGTAATACAATTAGGCAGTCGATAACCTAATTTCTAGTGTCATGATTAATGTTGACATTAAGGCATTCAGTCTGTTAAAAGCCGATTTTCCATTGAATTAGTGTAGTTGTTACAAACCCAGTAAGTAATTATCAAACGAAATTGCTCTCGGTTCACACAATTACCGGTCTTCGTTAAAGAACTACCGAGAAGCAGAAGGTTAAAGGGAAATTTCATATATTTTGTCTTGGATACCAAAATAATGTGCGTATACCTATAAAAAGTGAGGCTGTGATAAGAAGAAATGTAAGAGATTTGCGTAACTAACTGATGTAAAAATGAAATATTAATGTAAACTAAAAACAATACTAATATGATTTTAGGTGATGCACTAAACTAGTATTCATCAATCGAATTTCAATTCACATCAGCATATCAGATGAGGACGACTTTAACTCTATCCAGCATCTTACTTCGTCATTTAACCGACTGCATTTAATATATCTAAAGAAGAATGTGCCAAGTTTGTTTAAATAACATGTTAAACTATGTATAACATCCATATGAACTAGTTTTATGAGTAAATTTTAAAATGTTGGTAACACATGAGTTAAGCATTTGTCAGGAAAAATGCTAAGAAAATACATCATGGCAACCACGAACTAATGTGTTAGTTGATAACTTGTGGGAACTTACAGATTTTTTATTTTATTTTATTTAAACACATATATTGGTACAAAAGGGCACCAGGTACATATGCGCCACACAAAATAATGAAAGTAGGAAGAGAAGGGATGAAAAGATAAGGCGGACTGAAAGGTACAACCAGAAGACTCTTTCAGTTAAGAAAGTTAGAACCACTCTTTATGTAGAAAGTAAAAGAAGGTTACAGCAGGATCGCCACTGGCTTCTATTCTGAGCCATATCTGATAACGTCTCTAGCCACTGTGTTGCACCATCTCTCGGACCCCAGCCAGGGAGTCGTGAAGGACCAACAGAAGCTAGCCCTTTGCAGCTTTCTTTCATGCCACGACACCATGTCATACACTGACCTCCTCCCCGCTTTTTCTAACCAGTCCCAGAGTCGGCAAATAATGCACGACGTGGAAGTCTCTGGGACGACATTCGTAAAACATGTCCAAGCCACCGAAGTCGGTGTCTCAAGATGGTGACACTAATTGAATTATCGTCTCTGCGACCCAACACACGATACCGAACCTCTGCATTACTAACATGGTGTTGCCACTGTATGTCAGCAATCCTTCGGAGACAACGATGATCGAACACAGAGAGACGTCTAAAGATAGGGACGACTATCGACTCATTCCATGATGTTGGAACACTTACTTACTTACTTACTTACTTTCGCCTGTTACTCCCAATGGAGCATAGGCCGCCGACCAGCTTTCTCCAACCCACTCTGTCCTGGGCTTCCTTTTCTAGTTCTATCCAGTTCTTGTTCATTCTTCTCATGTCTGTCTCTATTTCTCGGCGTTGTGTGTTCTTTGGTCTTCCTCTTCTCCGTTGACCTTCAGGATTCCATGTGAGGGCTTGTCTTGTGACGCAATTAGCTGATTTCCTCAAGGTGTGCCCAATCCACTTCCAGCGCTTCTTCCTGATTTCTTCCTCTGCTGGAATCTGGTTTGTTCTCTCCCACAGTAACTTATTGCTGATAGTGTCTGGCCATCGGATCCGAAGTATTTTGCGTAGACAGCTGTTGATGAACACTTGTATCTTCTGGATAATGGCTTTCGTATTTCTCCACGTCTCCGCTCCATACAGTAGAACTGTCTTGACATTTGTATTGAAAATTCTAACCTTGGTGTTGGTTGACAATTGTTTTGAGCTCCAGATGCTTTTCAGTTGTAGGTATGCTGCTCTTGCTTTGCCGATCCGCGCCCTCACATCTGCATCTGATCCACCGTGTTCATCAATGATGCTGCCCAGATACGTAAAGGTTTCCACATCCTCCAAAGCTTCTCCGTCAAGTGTAATTTGATTGGTGCATATTGTATTGTATCGGAGAGTCTTGCTTTTCTCTTTGTTTATATTGAGACCTACTGCTGCTGAGGCTGCTGCTACACTGGTCGTTTTCTCCTGCATTTGTTGTTGCGTTTGTGATAGAAGAGCCAGATCATCCGCGAAGTCTAAATCGTCAAGCTGCATTCTGCCTGTCCACTGTATCCCGTGGTTTCCTCCAGATGTTGACGTCTTCATGATCCAGTCGATCACCAGGAGAAAGAGAAACGGTGAGAGTAAGCAACCTTGCCTAACACCGGTCTTTACTTGAAACGAGTCGGTGAGTTGTCCTCCGTGGACGATTTGGCAGTTTAGTCCATCATAGGAGTTCCGTATGATATTTACTATTTTCTCAGGCACGCCGTAGTGTCGAAGAAGCCTCCATAGTGTCGTCCTGTCCACGCTATCAAATGCCTTCTCGTAGTCGATGAAGTTGATGTAGAGCGATGAATTCCATTCGATTGATTGTTCCACAATGATCCGCAGAGTTGCGATTTGATCTGTGCACGACCTATCCTTACGAAATCCAGCTTGTTGATCTCGAAGTCGGGCGTCCACGGAATCCTTCATCCTGTTTAACAATACTCGGTTGAAGACTTTCCCTGGTATTGAGAGAAGAGTGATGCTCCTGTAGTTGTCGCACTTGCTCAGATCGCCTTTCTTTGGTATCTTGATCAGAAGTCCTTCTTTCCAGTCTGTTGGTACTTGTTCTTCGTCCCAAATCTTGCTGAAGAGGATGTGGAGTATCTTGGCAGTTGCTGTTACATTTGCTTTCAGTGCCTCTGCCGGGATGTTTTCTGGTCCCGCTGCTTTGCCACTCTTGACTTGTCTAATAGCCATGCTGATCTCTTCAATTGTTGGTGGGCCAATATCGATTGGGAGGTCCATGGGTGCTGCTTCGATGTTAGGTGGATTCAGTGGGGCTGGTCGATTCAAGAGTTCTTTGAAGTGTTCTACCCACCTGTTTCGTTGTTCTTCAATGTCGGTGATTACTTTGCCTTCCTTGCTCTTCACTGGTCTTTCTGGCTTACGGTAATTTCCAGCAAGTTTCTTTGTTGTATCATACAATTGTCTCATGTTTCCCTCTCTTGCAGCCTTTTCCGCTGTCGTTGCTAAATCTTCAACATATTTAAGTTTGTCGGTTCTGATGCTCCTCTTCACTTGCTTGTTTGCCTCTGTGTATTCGGCTTGTGCCTTGGCTTTTTCCGCTCTGGTTCGGCTGATATTGATTGCTGCCTTCTTGTTCCTCCTTGCTTCAATCTTATCCAGTGTACCAACAGTGATCCATTCCTTGTGATGGTGCTTCTTTTGGCCCAGAACCTTTTGACACGTTGAAACGATTGCCTCCTTGATACCTTTCCAGTTGCTCTCCATGGTAGTCCCCTCTCCATTGAGTAGGTCATGAAAGGCCTCGAACCTGTTGCTGAGGGCTATGTTGAATTTGTTGAGTTTGTCAGCATCTCGAAGAAAGGCCGTGTTAAACTTTTGTGATGTTGTCCGCGCCATTGTCCAGTGCTTCTTGAGTTTTAGTTTCATCTTGGCGACCAGCAAATGGTGATCGGATGCTATATCAGCTCCTCTTCTGGTTCTCACATCCTCCATCGTCCTCCTGAACTTTTTGTTGATGCAGACATGGTCGATTTGATTTTGTGTAGTGTGATCCGGTGAAATCCAAGTGGCTTTGTGTATGTTTTTGTGTGGGAATATGGTGCCACCTATGACCAGTTTATTGAAGGCACATAGGTTTGCAAATCTCTCACCGTTTTCGTTCCTTCCTCCCAGTCCATGTTGTCCCATGACGTCTTCGTATCCAGTGTTGTCCTTTCCAACCTTGGCATTGAAATCTCCCATTAGAATGGTCAGGTCCTTGGTTGGGCACTTCTCGAAGATGTGTTGTTGGAACACTTACTTCCTCCCAAACATTTGCAAACAACGCAGTCAGTTCCTTAGCCAGAAAGTCACCACCATATTTAAAAAGAGCCGGAGGTAAGTCATCTGGGCCCGGTGATTTGTAACGTTTCAAGAGTTGGAGTTCCTTGCGGACTTCCGCCTCGTTTGGTGGATCAGTCGTCACCGGCCATGGGGGGGCAGGACAAACTGGTCGATGTTGCCGGAGCAGCAGGCCAATTGAACTGCCCTTCGAAAAATTCAGCCCATCGTCCAAGACGTCGAGAGATGTTAGTGATTGGCATCCCGTCATCCTCGTAGATTGTTTCACTCACACCAGACTTCTTGCTGCCAGTGGCTCGGATGAGTTGGAAGAGCTTCCGGAAGTTACCAGATGCAGCTGCTGCTTCCATCTCATTAGCACGCTCCGACCATCAGGCTTCTCCGTCCTTACGCTAGCTTTGCCCGATTTCATTACGTAACAGTCTTCGTTTGTGGTCAAACTCACGGTCACCCGGAGTAGACCGACGGGCTTCCATCAGTTGTAAGGAACCGGAAGAAACCCAGTGATTGTAAGCGGGAGGTTTCGCGAAGCCGCACGCTGCTTTACTCGCCACTTTCATGGCGTCGTGAAGATGCAACCAATGCTCATCTATACTTTTCGGTGGGATGGTAGCTAGCCTAGAGGCTAGCTCCGCTCGATACTTACTTGCAACAGATGTTGCAGCCAGTTTACTAACATCGATCCGTTGGTGGTGGTCAATCCTTCGGCCACTGAAAAGTAAGGTGAGATTGGTGCAGACCAGGGCATGATCAGACTCCAGATAGGTACTCCAAAAGGAGCGGCAGTCTTGTACACAACCACGCCAGCGGTAGCTGATCGCGATGTGATCAATCTGAGTCCAGGCTTGGGATGCAGAGGGAGGACGCCAGGTGGCACACCGGCGATGACTGTGCCGGAAGTTAGTGCTGGCCAGAAACAGGTTGTGGCCTGTGCACAGTTGCAGTCCCCGTTATCTGTCCTGCGACCAACAAGTCCCCATCGGCCACCTAAACGACTCTCTTCTGTGCCTAGACGCCCCACCTGTGCATTCAAGTCTCCGGCTAGTACTATAATATCTGTCGAACGCGCTTTCTGGAGAAGAACTGTTAACTGGTGGTAAAACTCACCCTTGATTGCATCCGGGCTGCAATCTGTCGGAGCATAGGCGGAGATGACGAAAAGACACCGGTTTCTTCTCACTTTGATGGAACTTTCTAATCTAACAGCACATAACCGACTGTTAATGGGGATCCAATCGATTAGTGCTGCTTCAGCCCTAGTGCTTAGTGCAACACCAACGCCTGCAAGACCAGACGAAGATGCCAGAGTCCCCGGATAAGCGCACGTGAAACAAGCTTTTCGAAGCGACAGATGGAGAGCGAATTTGTAGTACTTCACTAGAGTCTTGAATACGGGTCTCGGATAGACAGCAAACATCAACATTAAGACTTTCTAAAGACATAGCCAGCCCCATCTGTTGTCCGATCTGCATTAGTGTGCGAACGTTGAAGGAAGCCAGCTTGAACGGCGTACGTGGTTTCAGAAAGACTGCTTCAGTATTTGTAATCGGTGGAAGCATTCACATTCAACCAGACAGTGACTGGAGATCGTTAAGATAGGACAGAGTTTCCACCATGGGCGAGCTACTGCATAAGTTGGAAAGGAAGGATACACAATTTGGGAATAAAGGGAGTGAAAAAGCGACGTAGTAAATAATAGTAATAATAATAATAATAATAATAATAATAATAATAATAATAATAATGGTAATATTAATAATAGTAATGTAAATTGTCTTGGTTCTAGTATGAGCGAGAATAGTATCGTCAATAGAATTCATCATTTCATTTATTTGCGTGTGGGCTGTGATACTGCCCGGGTGCCCAAACCGAAGCAGGTGGTTTTCTTAGGGGACCACACCCCGAGCCTTTGACCTAAAGGTCTGATCCACAAGGCAGTGGAGCATCGTGAGGAGATGCAGTCCCATGGTAGCCGGTGACCAACAGCAGTTCATTCGCCATTCGTTCCATCAGGATACTGGAGCCCATGTGCACCATTGGTTTGGAATCAGGGTTTTCCAACTCCCCTAGGTGGACCCTCCGTGTCCACCAACCCGGTTAGAGCGCCGGACATTCGCTTTTCGTCCTCTCACTTTCGTAAACAACACCCCAGCCACGAGAAGGCAGTGAGTAGGACTTCCCTGGCAGAGGCTATATATTCGAGCGGCCATGTGAGCATTTCGAGAGGGAGAGTGGACTCGCCCCACTCTTGGCCGTACCAGGGCATTTGGTTAGTTAGATTTATCATTATTTATGTATTTAAAGTATCTGCTTTGCACGCAGGTGATCGTTTTTACCAGGATAAGATGAAAACACGATAATACTAAGGTTTGTGGATGGGAGCTATTTGACCGTTTGAATAAAAGGTGACGATAAACAAGCAATCCCTAACTTTCATCAACTACCTCCATTAGAAGCATCGATGTGTTCAAATAAAACCTGCACCAGTTGACGTACTAACCGTATCTGAATACATCGTTATTAAAAGTAAAACTACGACTAGTGACTAACATTCGATATCATTCATTCCCTGATTGTTGAAACAAGTCCTGATCATAAAAATGTCCATGAACTAACTAAAAAGAAAAATACCATGTGCACATCACTGTTTTAGTCGTAAGTTAACTGACAGTACAACAATATATCGCAACTCACTGAATACAGCACCTGAATGCCCTGGTACGGTCGGGGTGGGGGCGTCCACTCTCTAACTCGAAATGCCTGGGAATTCCTACTCATTGCCTTCTCGTGGTGGGGTGTTGGTTACGAAAGTGAAAAAATGAAAAGCGAAACTCTGGCGTTTTAACCGGGTTGTTGGACACTGAAAGTCCACCTAGAGGATTTGAAAAACCCTAATCCCAAACCAATAGTGCACATAGGCTCCAAGACCCTGAAGGAAGGAATAGCGTACGAACCAAATGTTGGTCACCGGCTACCATGGGACTGCATCTCCTAAGGCCGTTCAAGCCAATAGGTCGAACGCTCCGGGTGTGGCCCCCTAAGAAAACCACCTGCTTCGTCTTGGCCACCCGGGCAATACCACAGCCCACACATTAATCAGGTAACTTGTGTGTTGCATATATATTCGGTGCCCCATTGTACCAATATTTATGTATTCAAGAAAGTAAATAAAACGAGTGAAGATCTATGTATCTGATCTGTATGAAGGCCACAGATATAAACCGTCTGGTTAAATATAAATATAGGAAAACGTTTAAACCCGCGACAAGGTAGTTGAAAGATCAATGTTTTAATTATTGAGTCATCGCTCTACACAGTATAACCAAACCTTTGGACAAAAACCTTTTCAGCCACCACAGAGTTTAAACGGAGGGAGACAGTAAATGGACGAAATGTTTAACTGCCAACCACTTAGTTACGGTTTTCAGATAAAATGATTAGCACATACTAGGGTGACAACAAGTGAATATACTAAAATATGTAGTTCTCAGAATAGCGTGAGCTAAGCAGACTTAAGAATTTGACAAGTTTGTGAATATAAAGTTGGTAATGATTACCTGGTTTAAACGTTGCAATACAGCTTCGGTTGGTGCAAGTGCCTTCCGGAAAAATAACAATTTGAGGCCAATCCTCTTCTGACTTGGCACGACGAACAAGCTCCTGAATTGTTTTCTTCCTGGAATTGGGATCTTCTCGGTTAACCAAAATGGGTTGAAGCAACCTGAAAAATCCACCTACAAAGGACTCTGCTGACTCCGTCTTCCCAACAACAGATGGCATGCCAAGATACACAACAATAAGAGCATCAAGGAAGGATGAATGAGGTGCAATAACCATAATAGGTGCTTCTTTACGTGACGCACGAACTCCTTGAACTTTAATCCAATGGAATCCCCCCAAAAAGAAGGCAAATCGAGCAGACATACGTACGATCGGCAAGATAAGCCACCTAAAAGTAATATGTAAAGTAAATTGTAATACCTTCTAAAGTCGCAGATAGGTTTTACATGAGATTTCGAGCTGTACCCAGTTGTGAATATATTTGAAATGAAAAGCGAAAGAAGGAAAATTAACCCAACCATCAAAACACGAAAAGGGAATATTGTGACTGTGAGCAAGTACATCTATATTAAAAATAACCAATCATATCAACCAGCACCTTAATATACTGCAACTTTGAAATCCTACATTGATAGGTGAAGGGGGTAAAAATATCGCCTTCATGTTCAATATTATCACTGGTCAGAGAATCTTTCTTGCGTAGCGACTGCGAATCACTACACTCTTGCTTGGTACAAAAACCCATCAGTACCAGTCTGACGGATTCAGATGAGCCAGTCAGACCAAATGACCTTACACGGGTAAAAATACTTTCAACACACTAAAACAAATTAGTTCTTCAAGCAATAACAATGAAGATTGCACTTGTACAATAATCCGTTCCCCAACTTTAAAGTAATAAAAATGTAAATGTCATATGATGGATTTCGTGTGTATGAAGTTCAAATAGTTTTTAATAAAACTTGTTTTAATCAGTGTGTCTAGCATCATTCGCTAAGGCATCTTGGTGTCGTATAACAATACAAAGTCTTGAGCATCTTCCAAATTGCTAACACAACGATTTCTTAATGTTCCTAGTGGACTTCGTATACTTTTTGATTGACAGCATAAGATTATGAAGATTGTCGGGTTTCATTGAAATTACAAACCAGTGAAAGTTTGCAACTTTGGAAAGCCCGAAAGTTCTGGACGTACGATTCTTCCAAGCATATGACTCCTCAGAGGTGCGCATTCATGACACTGCAGGCAGGAATCGAACCTCATACCTTCGGTCTCACACGCAATTGCTTAACCTCTAGACCACTGGTCCAGTATTCAATGTTGTACAAATCCGTCCACGATATTGTGTCACCGTCTTCCATTGTCTTCAGTAGACAGCCTTTTCACCTTTTACACCGTGTGTCTTATTGAACGTCAGGAAATACTCTCCCAGAGCTAGTCACAAGTGATCATAAACTCAATTTGCCAGACCATGTTAGCATTAGATGAATTCAGAAAGATAATTAGCAGAGCAATATAAATATTACAGCGAAAATTATAGTGAAAAGGACTGAACGCGGCTCTAGTAAATAGAATTAAAAGGTAATTGTGAAAGGGTCGTCAGGATGTTGAGGATCAAGAAAAAAGTGAAAAGTATATGTATCTAAGCCTTTGTCAATGATCCTAGTTCATATCACTCCGAGTTTCCAATCAGTTGCTGCAGTCTTCTACAAACTAATACATATTGAAGAAAATTATTCAGCATGTCCACTGACTTCATGAGATGACCTAACATATCTTTCCTGCTACTATGTTGAGCTTTCTTCTAGTGTAATTCTACACCATCTGGTATTACTTGTCGAAGTAAGGCATGATTAGACATATGTAACGTGTGTCCAAACCACCTCCGTTCGTGAATATTTACAACCTCATCGACCAACACTGAACCACTGTCAAAACCTTATGTCGAGTATCAATATTACCCAGTCAGTCTTTCTATAACACTCAAATAATACCTTGAAGGAACATATGATCGAAATCCTTCAGGTTACATAACGTTACTATTTCTACAGGCCACGTTTTACAGTTAAAGACGAGTAAAGGGAGAATTTTTGTGCATTATGCTCCTTTTTGAGTTGAGAGACAAACACCTCGCCTACGCCATAAATAACGCAAGATTCTAATAGCTTTTTGGATTCGTGCTAAGAATTCATGATACACAAACCTAACAGAGCCGATGAAACTCCTCAAATACATGAAATGGTCGACTTGCTTAACTCATCCTCTATCACCACAAGTTCAAGCGTTGAGAAAAAACCCACACTTGAAGCTATATTTTGGACTAGGAAGTAGGATAACATCCCAAACATGCCTTCGTCTCTGTTTCAGGAGATTCAACTCCATTCAATTTCCCATTTTGCTCACCAAATAAAGGTTAATCTGAGTATCGATTAGTGAATATCTCGGCAGGAGGATAATTTCCAAAGCTGATGTAGCTGTAAATAATTCCACAAAATCGATAGCTCATTAAGTGTTCGACATTGGATGCTGACCACGTTGTTTAAGTGGACTTGTTTAACTGAAGGCTTTCGGTCATGCATCCGTACCAGATCACGTTGCAACTCGGCGTGGGACATAGCTCCTAAGTTTCCATAGTCAGCTAATAACGAACGCCTCTCGATATATTGGTAACGTATCAAATATCGTCTGATTTCCTTTGGACGGGAACGATCGATTATAGAAGATACTACTGGTTGCTAGTTTTTAAACTAGAATATCCGTTGCATCATCAGTGGTGAGCCTAACGTGATCTGGTACACGAAGCTAATATACTGTGAGTCTGTTCCATTTTGGAATATTATTATTCATTGTTATTCTTTATTTGAATTTTATATATTGTGATATACTTTTTTTCGCTAGTTTTTCCCAGATATATTTTAATTAGACATTTTTCGATCTTTATGTTACTATGACGGAACACTCACCTAAGGTTTATAAGTTAAAGTCTATTCCCCCTACTTCGATTCAGTTAACGCCATTTTGGACCGACAGTATCGAGTCCTGGTTCTGCTACGCAGAAGCTGATTTTTGCATGCACGGAATCACGGACTCGCGCACACGATTCCTCGCGGTAGTTAAGGCGTTACCGCGCGAATTCAACAGGTACGTAACACCTAGTATGTTTACTAGTGATGTTCCGGGACCTTACGAAACTCTCAACTCGATTTTAAAGCGCGGAGACCTAACTAATCGACAACGGTTAGACCAACTACTTAACAATATCGACCTGCAACATGGATCTGCGACAGACATGTTGTTAAGAATGAGAGAGGTTATCGGCCAACGAACTTTCGATGATGGCCTATTCAGACTTGTCTAAACTTCCACAACAGATGCAGACAGTGCTCGTCTCGTTTCAAAACAACGCCATAGACGAGTTGGCTGTATCTGCCGACTGCATCTTAGAAATCACAAAATCATCTAAGGCCGATTTTCTTTCCGTCAAAGAAAAACCCCAATCGACCTCGACTGACATGGCCGAACTATGCCACACGCTTACGCGATATCTTAGAGTTCGTCATGACCGTAGTCGGTCAAAAAACCACGCGTAGAAGTGTCTCACGTAAGCGATCTGGCTCTCGACCACGAGAGACAGACAATCCCGACTGGTGCTGGTATCATAACCAGTACGGTAACTCTTCAAGAAATTGCAGGAAACCTTGCAATTATCCGACCTCATAATCGACTGACACGAATAAGATTTCGGGAAACTTCCCAGCCGGCACGCGTTAACGGCAACCGTAGCCGGCGAACACAGCCGCCTCTTATATGTCACGGATGTGACCACGAAAGTTCGCCACCTCGTCGACACTGGCGCGGAAGTTAGCGTTCTTCCAGCAAATCCCGACGACAGACTTCGCGAGTCTGTTTTAAGTTTACAGGCGGCAAACGGAAAGCCGATCGCTACTTACGGTAAAAGGTACGTCTACCTTAACGTGGGTTTACGCAAACCCATACACTGGATTTTCGTTGTTGCAGATGTCTCTATGCCAATCATTGGTATACACCTGTTACAATACCACAATCTACTAATCGACACACGCTCACGAAAGTTAATAGACGGAAACACTACATTATCCGTTTGTGTAACTCCTTGTTCTGGTTGCAGGTTATCCCCAGTCACAATCAAGCACACCATAGACCCCTTGTACCAATCAGTACTCGACAAATACTCAGGGATATATCAACCGCAATCGAAATTGCCTTGTGTAACCAGCAATGTTACACATCACATCTCGACTACAGGACCACCTGTATTCTCGAAAGCCCGTCGACTCGCTCCCGAAAAGCTTAGGTTAGCCAAAAACGAATTCGACCATATGATGGACCTAGGGATAATTCGACCATCGAATAGTCCATGGGCATCCCCATTGCACATGGTCCCTAAAAATGACAGCAATGATTGGCGGCCAACTGGTGATTATCGGCGTCTGAATGCTAAAACCATTCCCGATCGTTACCCGTTGCCTCACATTCACGATTTGACAGCTACCTTGAATAGTACAACTGTCTTTTCGAAAATCGACTTGGTTAAGGCTTATAACCAAATACCGATGGCACCTGGCGACGTTCCTAAAACCGCCATCATCACTCCTTTCGGTCTTTACGAATTCTTGCGAATGCCTTTTGGTTTAAGAAATGCGGCTCAAACCTTCCAAAGGTTTATAGACGACGTCTTCCGAGGTCTCAATTTCGTACATGCGTATGTTGACGGCTGTCTAATAGCAAGTCCGGACACACAATCACATCTCAAGCATCTGGAAATTGTTTTCGATCGACTCCAAAGGCATGGCATTACTGTCAACATACAGAAATGCCAAATCGGAACCAACTCCTTGGACTTCTTAGGACACACCATTGATGCCCAAGGCATCCGACCCCTTGGGAGCAAAATGGCGGCCATTCTGGATTACCCAGAACCGACCACGATCAAGCACTTACGAACTTTCAACGGACTCGTAGGTTTCTATAGACGGTTCATACCCAAATGCGCATCCCTTATGAAACCGTTAACCGACCAGCTTCGTGGAAATGCGAAATCAATTAGTTTAGACGACATAGCCCGTAAAGCATTCTCCACAGTTAAGGAACACATCGCTAAAGCCGCCCAGCTCGATCATCAGGACACTCAAACGCCCATTAGTACCGCCGTAGACGCATCCGACTCATCAATTGGAGGAGTCTTACAACAATGGGTTAACAACTCATGGCAACCTTTAGGATTTTTCTCGAGACGGTTGCTACACGCGGAATCTAGGTACAGCACGTTCGGTAGGTAACTCCTAGCTATGTATTGTGCTGTACGGCATTTGTTGTGTCTTATACAAGTTCCGACATTTCTTCGTATTAGATACAATACACTTCCGATTCGACGTTCTATAATACCTGGTTCCCACCTTCTTTCACCTTGATACGATTTAACGAGTACCCTTTCACCTACCTTGAAGCTACGAGTGACCATATGATTTTCATTCGTGGGTTTACTGCTAAAGACTGTTCGGATTTTCCTTCCGAACATACACTCGGCTGGTGACTTACCTTCGGGTACTGCCGGATTGGGGGTAACTCTGTAAGACATAAGGAACTTGCTGATTACTTGTTCTGGGATGGCCTCTACTCTACCCTTTGACTAGAGCTCGTTTTATAGTATCCACGAATCTTTCTGCTTGGCCATTCGACTGAGGATGGTACGGGGGAGACTGTAGA